AAATCTGTTAATTCCTTTACCCTCTTCATCCCCCACTGGGATTTGGGTCTCCACATGGGAGACTTCATTTGCACCCTGCAAGGAGCCTGGATAGTTTGGGAAGCTGACTGGAGATCTGGAAGGTTTCTAGGCCCTTTATCATGCTGGGACTCTTGGAATCTGCACTTGAATGTGCCTCCTGACTAGTTTCTTTTTCCCACTTGAAGTTTCCTTTTATGTCAGACTCATCCAGTGGGTGTCAACAGTAATAACTACCAACATTTCATGTGCTTTTAATGGCATTGGAGCCCCATGTCAGCTTTTCCAAACAAGCACATACAGAAGTGCGTCTTCACAGAATTCTGGCAAACACCATAACCCAAAAATACACTTCAGTGTTTAAAAACTAACATTTCCCCCAATCAGCACTGTCTAGAACACAAACATGCAGCTAAGGTTGTTGCCTTGCTCATCACACAGGGCTGAGCCCCTCTCTGGCAGATTAAATGCCTTCAAACCTCCCGGGGTCAACAAAGAAAACTCTATGCAAACAGGTGAAACCCCAACTTGCTCTGGACATTACGATTTGTTCCTGAAGCAACCATGACAAACACACACACCCTGGACAAAGAAGGAAAAGGGTCCTCCAGGGCTGGTCGGTAGCAGTGATAAAGTTGTCCTTTCTGGACTGGACCCACTCTGGCAGCTGGCCACAAGTGTGCCTGTATGGCAGCGGAGTTGAAGCTTTCGTTTCAGTTTAATTAATTTTAACCGAAATAGCTACATGTGCCCACTGGCGAAGCTAATCCACAGCACACCTCCACAGGAAGGGTCTCTGCAAGTCAGGTTAACTAGCCCTGCAGGAGAGAATCTGGGTGTGGAAACCATTAGCCCCATCTACCCCCACTCCCACCACCCCACCCCACCCCACCCCCAGCATTTGGGATTTAAGGAAACCCTCCCCCACACCTCAATACTTGAAGAAGCAGCCATATACTCCCCCAGATAACATCTCAAAAGTGACAGAGTGCTTACTGAAGCCCATTCCAAGGACAATTAAAGACACACACACCACTTCCCACTGGAACTTAAGACCTCCTAACGGACAAGCCACTTAGTCAAATTAGGCTAAATTTTTCTGTAATTATTTCCTTCCCTTTGGCTTTTGATTTCTTGGTTCTTTCAGAGATAGAACTTTAAAAAAAAAAATTCCAACAATGGTGCAAACCACACTAACACAATTCCCTATTTTTGAAAGCTTTATGAAAATTCCCAGCATTGTTCAACAAACAGTTCCTTGGCTACTCTGTTAATATGATTTTAAACAGATCACACCCCAGACATATTTTATGACAACTACACATGCAAAGCAGAGCTGTCCCGCCCTTATTTCCAACTTGGCAAGTTCCTCAACAAAACCAAATAAATATATACTAGAAACAGGAGGCTGGTACAAACCCCAGCTGGCTGCAGCCATAATTAGGGGGCCAGAGCTACTCTTACAGTTTAGATTTTTACTTCTAAACTCAAGAAGCCTACACTACCCACTGAGGTCTTAACATTTCTGTTACAGTGCTGCAGCTGAATAAGGCAAACCCCAAGAACCCAAAGGGTCCCTGAGAAGTCATGTTTTCCACGTTGCTTCCAGTCCAATTGTCCTTTCATGAAATTGCTACTGGCTGCAAAATCCAGATTTAACTGGCAATGTCTCAGCCACAAAGCAAAGCCCCCCTGTGACTGAGCTTTGAAACCTTCCATGCACAGTGTTCTTGGGGTTCACCTGGCAGACACCACAGGGTCCCCAAAGAAGGAAATCACTTAATGGCAACTTTCTCTACCAGGAAGATTTGTGCCCCATCCCACCCCTTGGGGTACAGCAGGATAAACCCACAAGCCAGCCCTTCTCTGCAGAGGGAACCACCACAAGATGCCGGTAGGAGCAGGAGCCTATGAGTTCCCCTCTAAGTTCCCAGGGAAGGGGCCAAATAAACACCAAAAGGCCTCCAATGTCAACAAACGTTCTAGAAGAGGGTTATAAATTTGGGGTGGGGATAACTCATAGTAATCCTGTTCTCCCTGACAACAATTTGGATGGTATAATTAGAACTCTCCCAGGAAAAGAAAGTCCACACATTTCTTGAATTTAATCAGACTGGCCAGAGTTCTACAGATTAGGGAAGTCTTTCCTTCACACCAGCTCCCATTTCAATGACAATGGTGACCTTCCACATCCTGGCCTCCCAAGGAATGCATTTTAAAGACCTGCCTCTTCACTGAACCTTTCCTTAGAAATCCTACTTTGGAGGATTCATCTTCTCCACCTGTGACAGGGGCAGCTCCCTATTGCTGTATTTCTATTCTACTGGCTTCAGAAAAGATACCAGAGGAAAGAAAAGTATTAAATATAGACTTTGCCAGGCTGAATTGAAGTGGAGGCTAAACCTTTACAGGGAACAAGTCATTCACTGCATATCACACCAGAGGCTGATCTACAAACACCAATGATGTTGTACTCGGACCAAACAACAGAAACAAAATTCTTATCGGTTTCCTAACTATGACTGGCTTTAAAAATCAAAAATTCAGCCTCACTGACTAGAATCCCCTCCGTCATCCATGAGGTTTCTAGAAACAATCCTTCAGCAGCTGACAATAATGTCACACAGGTCAGTAGCATTCAGAGTTTCTAGATAGAATTTTTTATCAAGTAGATTCCAGGGTTAAACTTGCTCTTCATTAAATACTGAAACATTTCAAATGTATGCTGCTTCTCTGCTTGGTACACAGCCATAATAAGAAAAACATGTTGCTTGACTTACTATATACATAAAAAGTCTTCTTTTTCCACAGTCTTCTTATTCAAGATGTTTTCATTTATTCCTTCTAGATGGATCACTATCATTATTTATTATGACCAGGGATCTGGGCCAGAAGTAAACACTGCACTGTCAAAATGGGGGGTAAGAAGGACCCCAAAACTCCCCCTCCCAAACAGCACTGTCCCAAATCAAGTTTTTGTCTCCTTAGGGGGCAGAGCCTTCCATAAAAAATGTAAAATAAATAACTTATAAGTCCTTTCAGAATAACCTTTCCATGTTTTCACAAAGTAACTTATGTTTTCTATATAAAATACACTCAAATTACAGGGATTCTTTTTCTACGGCAGAAAAGATGCCAAACACCCAAATCTCCTGTAATCATAAAATTGTATTCATATTTTGAATATAAATGATCATATTCTTTGACTTTTCTGTTAACCTAACATTCCAGGAGGAAGAGAATTATAAACAGCTTTCCTACTCCCGCCCCACAGATTATTATTATTTTACTGGAAAAAGAAAATTACATCCACATAAGGTTCAAAAATTAACTAAAATGACACTGGATTGCTTTGTTGTTCAGAGATTTCTTAAATTTAACTGGAAATGAGGACTATGTTTGAAGTATTCCGCCCGAAAAGCGGTCGCAACTTTTCTGGTTTCTGCAAGAACCTTGATTTATGCAACAGACCCACCATCCTTTCAATTATCTCCCACCTAAAACTCCTCCCTAAAGCACCCCACCTCCCCCGCAAATGCAACAGAAACTGCCCGCCCCCCTGCAGTTTGCCAGGCTGAGTTCCGCGCGGCCATCTAGGTAGCACAGGGCCACTGCACGTCCAGTCCCGGGTTCAAGCCCCCTTCTCGCTCCCGCACAGCCCACCGAAAGGAGCAGCAACTCTAATTCTTGTAGGGGGCGGGGGGAGGGAGGTTGCAGAAATCGACGGGGTTGTTAGAGACCCACGGGCTGGCGCAGAAATGTACTATGCACACACCGTCTCGCCGTGCGCCCTGCGCGGCTTAGGCTTTAAGGGAGAGCGACATAAATGCAAACCCCTTCCCGAATCAAAACACCAGAGATGTCTGAGGCATCCGCTTAAACCCACACACTCCCCCCAGAAAGGCCGCCCAGAGCTCTGCTTCCGAAGACCGGATCCCTGGGGCGCGCAGCTGGCAGCAGGACGCAGGAAGAGCTGGGGCCCCTTCCTGCTCGCGGACCCCAATTCTCACCTGCCCGCAGGAACGCTGGGGGGAAGGGGTGCCCAACGCAGAAGGTGGGCGACTGTGAAACCCACTTACAAATAAGGGGGCGTCTCACATTTGTGGGACTTGAGGAGAACCTCTCCCGCGCCTGGAGGTGGCCCCCCCACCCCAGCAGGGGGCCGGGTACCCCGCGAGGCTGCGCGCCGCGCGGACGTTCTCTGAGCGTCTGGACCGGGTGGGCAAGCGCCGCCTCCTGGGGTGCCCTAAGCCGGTACCCCCCGCCCCCGCTCCGAGCACCCCGGCAGCTCCTGCGCACCCCAGGGCCCCCGCTGGAGACCGCGCGGGCCCCACGGAGACAGCGGGGGCCCCACGAGGAAAGTGCCACCAGGGCGCCCGCTCGCCCCTCCGTCGCGCGCCTCGCCTCAGGGCCGAGTCTCGGTGTGACCCGAAGGCACAACCGCTGAAGGGCCGCCCAGGGACAGCGACCCAGGCACGGGGACCGCGCTCCGGCCCCCTCTCGGCGTGGGGGAGGGGGCGAGGGGCCAACAATGGGGAGGCCGGAGACCCTCTCGGCTCCGCGGCGGGGTGGGGTGGGTCGGAGCCGGCTTCTCCCGCCCGCCCGTCCCCGCCCCGGGGGAACTCGGGGACAGCCGGGGGTCTTGAGGTCCGTGCGCCCCGGATGGGTGACTTGGGGTAGAGGGCTGAGTCAGGTCCTGAAATCACAGGGCGCGTCTGCGGACCCGGGCCGCGGTCACACCTCCAAACCCTCGGAAACCCCCGGCGAAGGCTGCCCGCGGGCGCGGCCGCCGCCTGCCCGGCCTCTGGAAACACTTAGCCGTCCCCAGAGCGCGCCTCGCCGGGAGCAGCCCGGGCGGCGGGGAGCGAGCACGGAGGGGGCCGGCCCCGCGCCCCTAGCCCGGGAGCACGGCGCCAGCTCGGCGGCCCGGGGCGCGGTCCCCGCGGACGGCAGGCGCACGGAACCGGGGCGGCCGGTCTTACCTGAGGTCCGGGGCACCGAAAGCAGGAGCGCAGCGGCCGCCCAGACGGCCGGGGCGCACAGCAGCGGCAGCGCCGAGCCCAGGGCCATGCCGCGGGCCGAGGGAGCTGGACGCGGGAGCCGGCGCGGCGCTGGGGGCCGGGCGCCACCTCCCCAAGGGGCCGCGCGTCCGCTGCCCTTTCTCCCTGGTGCTCCGCCGCTCGGCGCCTCTCGAGGAACTGCTGGCTCTCGTTTTCTGCGGGCCCGGATGCGCCGCTCCGACCCAGGCGCGGCGCGGGCTGCCTGCGAGGCTCGGGGCGCGGGCTCGGGGGGCGGACCGCGGGCGCGCAGGAGGCAGGGTCCGCGGCTCGCCCGCCCCGATGGGCAGAGCAAGGCCGGCACCTGCGCCCCCTGCCGGCGGGACGTGTCGGCGGCGGTGCGGTCGCGCGGGAAGTGGGGGGCCCAGACCTGGGGCCCGGCTCGGTGCGCGGAGTGCCTCCCGCCCCCGCCCTGGGGCTTGCCCCTCAGGACACTTGGGGTGCAGAGGTGGCGCCAGATGGGCGACCCACTGGACCTCGGTGGGGCTGCTCGCTCTGCAGAGGCGCCCGGGGCGGTAGAAACCACCTTCAGGGGGCGGAACCCCCATGGACCTGTGCACACACACACGCAAATAACTCGGGACGACGTCCCTCTGCAAACTCCACAGGGGCAAATCAGAGAGTCATCCCGGCCCAGAAGCCAGCGGCGGGGGAGGCAGAGGAGCGAGGTGTTAGAGAAATGAAACGTTCACTCAGGGAAAGGAACTGGCCACGTCCCCACCGGCGCCTTCCAGGGCCCTCCTCACCGCGCCACGCCTGGTGGGGACAACCACTCCTGTCCCAAATGCCCCGAGACTACTGAGAGTGGAACTGCGTGGAGGGCGACCTCGGGAGTGCGATACTATCTGAAGCCACCGCGGCTTTTTGGTTTACTGTTAAAAGCAAATTGTGTAATTTTACCCATTAAAGGCAGAACACTATTTGTTCTCTGCAGAGCCCCCAGAACATGCAGAAGTAATTTGCTTCACTTGTAAAAGACATTTTGAACGCAATTCAAATAACATGTTTTCTTGCTTATTCTTGGTTTTGCTTAACACATGCAAAGGTCTGGAATTGGAAGGCCTGACCCTCCACTTTGTAACTTAGGAATTTTCTTTGTTTTTCCTCCCCTGGAGAAAGGATTTGGAACCTCCAGCGTCTGGGTTGTTTGTTTTGTAAGATTTATCTTTTAACTGATTGTCAAGCAGTTTGTTTGGCGGGTTTTTTTTGGGGTTTTTTTGTTTTGTTTTTTTGTTTTTTTGTTTTTTTTGCTCAAGCACCATTTCCTGCTGGTTGGGGTAAATTAGCAGGAGCCCCGGTCTTGGGTGTCAGACGCTGAGGCCCCCCACTCTTACCGCCCCAAATGACCCCCCCCTCCCGGGATTGCCCTTCCATCACCCCACACATGGCAGGAAATAAACGTGCTTCTGCTATGGTCTGCTGACAAAATGGCTGAGCCAGCCCCCGTCGGTTACTCTGTTAAAAGTATTTAGACCTCTCACTGTCTCTGCTGAATTTGTTGGAGGGAAAACATCCTCCACAGTTCTCATTCCTAATGCACGCGAGAGGGTCTGGGACTGGCCGTGGCAGCCAGGGATCCAGGGAGAGTGGAAGAAGATGGTAAAATCATTACCCCGAGTCAGGACCCCAGCACAGGTGGTCCAGTCAATGCTGCCCGGGCTTCTGAGCTGGGGGTCTGCTCTCCTGGGTGTTGTTTGAGGACTGCCAGGTGTTTATCTTTGGGTTTTTCCTCCCCTTGGGACCCCTCAAGGATGCTTTAAGAGTAAATAAGGTTTTAAGAGTTGGTCTTGAAGCACTTAGTTCCAGATTCCTCTGTTCTGGATGTGTTGCAAAACCAAATGGGCTTATAAAGAAAGATCCTAGAAGCCTTACTCTCAAAACCCTGGCAATGGGCAAAACGTGATCTGTTCTGTGGCCCCATGTGTGTTCCCTTTGCTTTCTGTTGTGCCTGGCTGGAGGTTGTGGTTCCAGAACCATTCCATCAGCAGCGCTGTCTCTTTATCTTGGTGTGAACTTGGGGGAAATGACTTAATTATGCTTCAGCCATTGATCAATACGTGAGATTTTCACATGAGTGGGTTCCCTACAAACCTGACCAAGTTTAAACAACAGCATACATTTTTGCTGACAATCTCTTAGATAGGTTCACAAATATGGGTTCTATCACACACTATTCCTGAAAGCTTTTCAAAAATTATCTTTCCAGCATTTCTTTCCCCAAAGGTTTCCTATCTGTAACTCTGGCCTGCTCACCCCCTCTGCCCCTGACTCCCTCCCTGCTCCCTCTACAAATTCAGAACTGAAGGATAAATAATAAGTTTATATTTCCAAATGGAATAGGGTCAAAATATGTGCTTTCTAAGGAGTTAGCAGAATGTGGCTTAAATCCAAAGCCAGATTGCTGTATAACAAATCATCCCAACACCTAACAGCTTAAAACAGTAAACATTTATTATTTCACATAGTTTCTGTGGGTCAAGAATTCAGGAGAGCTTCACGAGGCGGTTCTGGCTCAGCATCTGTGTCAACCTCAAAAGCAAAATAACCATTCATTTTACCAGCAAAAGGAGCTTACTTGGGAATAGCAGAAAGGCTGCAATCCTGGATAAGCAAATCATGATAACCCATAGACAAATCTGTGGAAAAAAGGAGAGGTGCTTGCTTTTATAGGGGGAAGGAGAGGTTGAGTGGAGCTGTTAAATGAAAGTCCTTGGGAGGATATTAAGAATTCAGGGGGCCGATGACTCCTCATTGGCTGAGTACAGCCTTTTCTATGACAGGACTGTTGCTGGGCGAGGGGAAAATCTTCCTTCCTGGTAGCAAAGTAATTTTCCTTTTGGGAGTGCAAGATGTGCTTCTTCCTGCAGGCCAGGCAAATAATAGTGAGTGCTAGTGTGTGAGAGCTCCCCCTACAGGCTGAGTCATCTGCTCAACGGAGGTTTCCTTGATACATTTTTACAGCTCCATTGCATCAGGTTGCAGTCAGATGTCAGGGCTGCATCATCTGAAGGCTTGACTGGGCTACATGATCTTCACACCAGGCTTCATGCACCTGACAAGTTAATGCTGGATGTAGGCTAGAAGCTGCTGGGCCTCTCTACAGCATTCCTTTGTCTTCTTGACAATGTAGCAGCAAGCTTTCTCCAAAGGGAGAATAGATGGAAGCTCCATTTTTTTAAAGATTTATTTTATTTATTCATGCATTCAAGAACTGGGGTGTAGACCAGAGGTGCAGGGGTGAGAAGACTCACCAGAGACAGAGTGGGGAACAGAGCAAGCAGATCTATTGAAATACACTGCTGAGGGGAGCACAGGGCAAGACAGGAGAGGTCTGCTGCACCATGTGGGTCAGCTCCCCGGCCAGGGATTGAACTCATGTTGCAGTGGCTGGTGATAGCTTGATAGCACTGGGCCTTTAACCCCTGCACCACCAGGGAGGCCCCAGGAAGCTTCAATTTTTTATAACTTAGCCATCGAAGGCATACACTGTTATGTCTCCTGTATTCTGTTGGTTTCACAAGCCAGCCTCCTTCCATGTAGGAGGGACCCCTACAGGGTGTGTATGCCAGAAGGATACAATCAATCCAGCAAACTATGCCAACGCTGCCCACCTGGAATACAACCATGCTGTCCCCAGGTCAGGCAGATGGCAAGAGGGAGAGAAAGCCAACATGGTATGTGCCCAGCAGGAATAAAGGGAAGAAGCCACATGCCTCGAAGACCACCAGAGGGTACTTGTGCTGATGTCTGTGGAAGAGCATCCCACATGCTCTGCAGGGGCAACGTGAGAAACTTCGAGGTGAAGGAATCCCAGGTTATCCGCAGAACAGCCCTTAAACCAGGGTAGCTATAGTCACATGGTTTTAAGTTGAATTTTCCTTTTTTCAAAAGATTTATTTATTTATGCATACAAGAACTGGGGTACAGGCCAGAGGTGCCCAGTGGGGGTGGGGGGGGCCAGAGGGCGGGTGAGAGGATTCACCAGAGACAGAGTGGGAAGCAGAACGGGCAGATCTACTCAAATCCACTGCCAAGGGGAGCAGCAGGTGAGACAGGAGAGATCTGCTGAGCCATGTGGGTCAGCTCCCTGGCCTGCTAGGAATCAAACTTGTTCTGCAGTGGCTGGTGATAGGTTGATAGTGCTGGTTTTTGGACCCCTGAGCCACCAGGGAGGCCCTAATCACCCATTTCTATCTCCTCTACCACGGTCACAGCCTCTCATCCTCAACTAAGTTAGTGCAATGGCCTCCTACCTGCTCTCTCTGCTTCTATCTTTGCTCTGCTAAGTCTGTTCTCAACAAGGCGGCCAGGTTGATGACCAAAAAAGCCAACTCTTTTTTCCCTCCTCTCCCTTTAACTTCTGCAAGAGTCCTCATCGAAGGAAAAACAAACATCCTTCCAGTGGCCTTATTCGGTATGAATAGGGTCTGTGCACCACATGTCCCCTGAGCGCCTACAACTCTGCCAGTGCCTCCCTCCTTCGCTCCTTCCCTGCTGACTTCCTTAGTTTTTTCCCAACAGGCTGGGCCTTGTGCCCACACCTGGAATGCTGCTTTAAGAGGCCACGTGCCATGTTTCTTCACCTCCTTCGGGTGCTGCGCAAGTGTCATCTTCTCAGTTACACCTTCCTGGCTGCCCTGTTCCCATCATTGAGCATTCCTAGCTTCCTTAGAGGCTCTCTTTTTTCTCCTGAACTCACACCATTATCTATAGTGCCATATATTTTATTGATTTTTTATTGAGTGTTTAGTCAATATTCAACTCCCCACATGACCTCATACAATTTTTTGGTTTTTTGTTTTTTTGTTTGTTTGTTTTCAGATTTCACTTCTTCTTTTCCATAAGATGTCATCTGAGAGCATGAGTGTGGCCTCCTGTATTCTGACAGTGAGGAGAAGAGAGAAGAGTCCTCATGTCCGCGCAGAGAAACTGGCAGCCTCTCTGGTGGGATGACTGGATGGTTCCACTCTGGTTCCATGTGGCCTTTGGAGTGATGTACTAACACTTCCTTTG